TCTCACGATGCCACAAAGGATCAACGAACAGCACGCAACGAAAGGAAGATCTACTAGATATTAATTAAATTATAGATATATCAATTCATGTGAATATGACTGAAAAATTTCATTTTTTTTGAAAAGGTGGTGTCTATTTACGTTTGACCACGCTGTGTATATTTTAAGCTCAAAACTATTTATGGGCGTTGCATGCAAAATGAAATAGCAGTCGCCAAATTCTCTTATTTTAGTGTACGCTTTAGTACTAAGAGTATGTAAAGTAGATAAATGTAAGGAGTATTATTAGCGGCAGAGCACTGAATTTAGTGGTGTCCAAATATATAAAACTCAACAAAATTGTACAGAAGAAACTTGATCATCATAAAAATAAAATGCTTTCTCCCGTTACAATTTCAATATATTCATGTTTTATTTATTTCTAGAAATGTATTATAACATAGTGCAACAACACAATATGAAATTGCTAATTTTACAATATCTGTTATAGAAATATATATAACAGATATATATAATAACACGATATGAAATTGTTAATTTTACAATATCTGTTATAGAAATATATATAACAAAACGATATGAAATTGTTAATTTTACCATATCTGATATAGAAATATATATATTTCCAATATTTGTAGATTTCGTGTTTCTAGCGCCACATATTGAGAACATTATAAAATATGTTTCAAAGGCAGTTCCAAGAACTGCAAAATTTCCCAATTAAAATTAACTCATCTTTTATACTATACAAACGTAAATCATGGTATTATAAGTAAAATTTTTGTGATTATACTGGAAATTAAAAATAACATACAGTTATAATGGCGTAAAACAGAAAAAATAAATAAATAAAGGAAACTAAATACAACGGAAAACATAGTTAAACGAAGCAACATTTTTAAAAAATTAATTTGAATAAGAGGCGTAAATGAGCAAGTGGTCTTCATATGTTAATACTTTTCCAAAGGCACAAACTACAAACGTATTACATTAGTTAAATGACTAC